AGGAAGGAAGGAAGGAAGGAAGGAAGGAAGGAAGGAAGGAAGGAAGGGGAGGGGGAAAGGAAGGAAGGGGAAGGAACAAAGGAAGGAAAATGGGGGAGAGGGAGAGAGGAAGGAAGGAAAGAAGGAAAGAAAATGGGGAGGGAGGAAGGGAGGGAGGGAGGAGAAGGGAGGGAGGGAGGAAGGAAGGAAGGAAGGAAGGAAGGAAGGAAAATGGGGAGGGGGAAAGGAAGGAAGGGGAAGGAACAAAGGAAGGAAAATGGGGGAGAGGGAGAGAGGAAAGAAGGAAAGAAAATGGGGAGGGAGGGAGGAGAAGGAAGGAAGGAAAATGGGGAGAGAGGAAGGAAGGGAAGGAGGAAGGGAAGGAAGGAAGAAAGAAAAGGAAACTGGGGAGGGGGGAGAGAGGAAGGAAGGAAGGGGAAGGAAGAAAGGAAGGAAAATCGGGAGAGAGGGAGAGAGGAAGGAAGGAAGGGGAAGGAAGAAAGGAAGGAAAATGGGGGAGAGAGGGAGGGAGAAAGGGAGGGAGGGAGGAATCTCTAAAGATATACAAGCCATTTGTTTTGATTCATTCTAATACTTCCGTGTCAGAAGTACCCAAGTGCTTCCATGGTGAAAGGATTTGCCAGTGATACCACCATTGCCCAAGGGACCTCCAGTCGGGGGGTACCTTCCATGTCCCTGTGAAGTTGCCCACCAAAGGGTTACCCATTAATCCACTTGTGATTGCCTACATTCAATCTGCTGCGCCAGCCGAAGCTGGAGCCTGAGGCGGGAGCTCCCCCCCCGCCCTGCAGCAGCAACGGGTCTCCAACACAAGACCGCCAATCGTCAGCCTAGCGTCCTAACCTTGTGAGCCACTGAGCCCCCTCGATTTTAGATTTTGCCTCTCCGTAGAACAGACCAACTGGAGAAGGAAGTCGGCAGTTGAGAAAGAAAGGGAAACTTTAAGGATCCAATGCTTTCTTTTGCTGTACCCAAAAGTAACTATCAAGCACTGGATGAGACGTCAGAAGAGGGAGAAAGGTTTATTCTTTGCACCTATATGGATTCCAATTCCCATAATCCCTAGCAATAGACTTATTTATTATTTGATGGGGCTCCTCCTCTCCACGAACCTCCCTCCCTTCTCGCTCCTCCTCTTGATGATGTTACCTAGTTGGGTCATGAAACGTCTGCAAGAAAACAAGCAAACTCAGAGAGCACCAAGGATCCCACAGTCTTCCTCCTTCTCCTCCCTTTCTTCTTCTCCTCCTCCTCTCCACAAACCTCCCTCCCTTCTCCCTCCTCCTCTTGATGATGTTACCTAGTTGGGTCATGAAACATCTGCAAGAAAACAAGCAAACTTCCTCTTCCTCCTCCTCCTCGCCCCCTTTCTTCTCCTCCTCCATTCTGCAAACCCCACTCCCTTCTAACACCGATGACCTTCCCTAGCTGGGTTATGAAACGTCCGCAAGAACGCAACCCAACTCCAAGAGCACCAAGGACAGCGCCCCTTCTTTCGACCCCCAAGCTGCAGATATATTCCCCTTTTGGAGACACCACTCTGGAAACCAAACGGCCTTGCATTGGTAAAGATCTCGGGTTGAGAAGAGAGGCAGGCAGGCAGGCCGGCAGGCCGATGGACACAATCTTGTCCATTTCACTCTTTTCTCCTCCTTTTTTCTTTTTCTTCCCCCCCCCCCCCCCGCCCAGAGTCGATCGCTTTCAGCTGCTCCCGCAGAGGAAACAGGTTGCGGGCTGGGCGGAGTAAGCTTTCTCAAGGCTTTCGAACCTCACTCATCCGCTGTGCTGGAAGCGCAGCACTTAGCCTATCCCAAAGCTGGCTTGCAGCCAGACCTTTTTTCAGCGGCAGAGAAAGCCAAGTCCCTCCTAAAGCCCTCAAGACAGTCAGCTGGCCAGCTGCCCAGCTCCACCTTCTGTCTGCAGTGACTGCCTGCCCAAGGAAGCCAAGGACGCTGCAAATAGGAGTTGTTGCTCTTTAAAAAAAACACACACACACACACAACAACCAACCAACCCTCTTTAAACCGTCCTTCTTAAGAACGGCTTCTAACCCCGGTCGTCTTGTCTCGGAGCTCCTTGGCTGTTGAACATCCTGGGTAAGGCATGCCAACCTTGCAAAAAAACCAACAACCCAGCCACCCCCTCCAGAAGGCGAAAGGAGGGTGGGGATAAATGGGGGGAGGGATTTGCAGGCTCACCTCTGCAGCTGGGGTGTGTCCGTGGGGGGGGGGGGTCGGGAGTTGAACCACAATGTTTTACCGATGGAGTTAGTTCAAAGCCTCTTGCGGGTTTTGCATTCCTGGACACAAGCAAGGCGCTGGGGCAGCCGCTTTTGTCTGCTTGAGCAGGGGTAGGGGGTTGGACTAGAAGACCTCCAAGGTCTCTTCTGACTCTTGCTATTCCATGCTTCCCCTTGGTTAAGGGCTGGTTTCAGCCCGTAGAGAGTGGAGTTCCCTTTGGCAAGGATGCTGCGTGCACCATGATGAGTAGGAGGAGGGGGGTGGGATATCCAGTTTGTCTCTGAGCGAGGACCAGGCCGAAGGACCTCTTCGAGTCCTCCCTTGCAAAAGGTCGCCAGGGCCGAGAGCAGCCATGATGGCCTGTTGTGTCTCCAGGTCTAGAATAAAATCCTTGGTTCCCCAAAGATCGGGGGGGGGGGGGCAGAAGGAAGAAGAGCTTTGGTGACTCAGCATTTTTGCTTGGGAACTATCAGCTGCGTGGTTTAATGCTGAGCCATCGGACTCAGCGTTTTCAACTTTTATTGCTTCTATCTTTCCTGGTTCTGCTTTTAACATCTCGAAAAAGTTCTGGAAGACCCCAAGGCTGGCTGACAATTTGAGATCATTTGAGTAGATCCAAATGGATTCTGAATTCTTATCGTTGCTCTTTCTCTTGCTGTGCTCTTCCTCTTCCTTCCTTCTTCCCTCCCTTCCTCCCTCCCTCCCTCCCTCCCTTCCTCCCTTCCTTCCTTCCTTCCTTCCTTCCTCCCTCCCTCCTTCCCTCCCTCCCTCCCTTCCTTCCTGTGCAATAATTAGAAAGGAATATTGCAGACTAACTTTGCCAACTGCCAGGAGTTTGATCCTGACTGGCTCAAGGTGGACTCAGCCTTCCATCCTTCCAAGGTGGGTAAAATGAGGGCCCAGATTGGGGTTTGCAAGAGGCTGACTCTTAGAGAGGCCTGGGAAGCACCCAAAAGCAGTATGTAAGTCTAAGGGCTGTTGCTATGGCTTTGCTTTTCCTTTCCCCCTTCTTTCCTTCCTTCCCTTCCTCCCTTCCTCCCTTCCATCCATCCATGGTGCACAGTTTTAGAATGCCATAACTGCAAGCTAACCCTGCCGACTGCCGGCAGTTCGATTCTCACCAGGTTCAACGTTGACTCGGCCTTCCCTCCTTCCGGGGTCGGTAAATGAAAGACCCAGATTGTTGGGGGCAAGAGGCCGATTCTGTAAAACCGCTTTAGAGAGGGCTGTAAAAAGTTCTGTGAAGCGGTACCTAAGTCTAAGGGCGATATTTCTATTGCTTTCTGGCCAGAGAGAAGCTGTGTTGCCTTTAGAACAGGCTGGCGTCCATCAGGCGAACGAAGCGAGCGGACTGTAATGGTGAGAAGGATGAACAAGCAAAACCCGTTTTTTTTTTCCCCTGCTCTCAGAGCGAGCAGGTGTGACTGCAGTTGTGCCAGGCAGATAATTGTTGAACCATTTAAATGTACAGGGATGCCATCTGAGACTGGCAGAGCTAGGCAGGAGCCTAAATTCCTATAAAAACCACCTTGCCTGGCATTGAATTTCAACGATCGAATGTTGTGGGCATTTCCAGTGTGTGTATGTGTGTGTGTGTGTGTGTATTTGCGATCTTCAGGTTTCAAGGACAGCACCTGGTTGACCTGGAATAAACTAGCAGGGTGTGGGAGATGAAGTAGATGGGCAAAATAGATTGCATGAAAATACAGGCAGTTCTCGACTTACAACAGTTCACTTAGTGACCTGAACGACACTGAGAAAAGGGACCGTATTTCACAATTACAACCAGGGTTACATGACCCCCTCTTTTGACCTTCTTCTGTCAAATCTTCCACCTCTCTACGAAATCCCCAAATCCCCCAAGCAATAAAAGGTGGCAGCTTGGAAGTTTCTAAGTAAAATATGAACAGTGGTGGGATTCAAATAATTTAACGACCGGTTCTCTGCCCTTACGATTTCTTCCAACGACCAGTTCGCCAAACTGCTCAGAGAGTTGACAACCGGTTCTCTCAAACCGGTGTGAACCGGCTGAATCCCACCACTGAAAATATGGCTTCCAAAGGTGACCCCCCCCCCCCCCCCCCCCCCCCCAATGTTCTCCAGGCAGTTCTTGGTTCCTCAAATCTGGCATTCTGAACCCAGAAGGGACATGCTACGCTCTTCCTTGACCAAAACTAGGACATATACATGTCGCTAGTCTTCAAAAGCAGGAGTCATGGTGATGTTTGTTGATTCTGTATTACGTTGCTCTGTTATTATTTGGAAGCCCAGATGGGATGATGTTCTCTTTTGGAAAAAGAGGTAGGCGACTTCCTGTTTATTTGGCCTTCGGTAAGTCGTGCGTAGTCCAAGCTGAATTCTGCACGAGGAAGGGAATATCTGGGCGGAATTTCTATCACGTGATTCAAGGGAAGAAGTAAAGGAGAGAAAGATTAAACGGATGACCGTTTGCTAGTTTTATAACAGAAGCTAATGATTAAACACTTCGGTTTTTCGTTTTGCTTTTTTTTTTCATCTGATTTAAGCCAAAGTTGACTCCTGGTGGATTCATCCCTGTGGTTTTCTTGGCAAAAGTGATTTGCCATTGCTTGAGAGAGAGTGACTGGCCCAAGCTCAGAGGTGCAATTCTACCAGTTCAGACACCGGTTCTATAGAACCGGTTGTTATGCTTCCGCACAGTTTGGAGCATCCCTCCCCACGCTCCATTTTTGCCTTCCTGGGACCCAGGGAAACCTTCTGGGAGCAAAAATGCCACCCCAGGAGGCTTCCCTGAGGCCTAGGAGCCCCCCCCAAAAGGGGGGGGGTGTTGCAAAAAAGCCACACCCACCTAGACACATGGCCATGTTCGCCTAGCCACGCCCACAGGACCAGTTGTTAAAAAAATTTGAATCCCACCGCTGCCTGAGCTGGGTTGGTGCCTACGCTGGGAATAGATCTCCAGTCTCCCCGTTTCTAGACTGGGGCCTTCGCTCCTACATCACTGGGAAATGAAATACACTGGGGGGGGAAAAAAAATGGGTCTTCACTGCTACATCTAAACTGGCCCGTTGCTTTATGGAATGAATCCATGTCTGGGCCGAACTCAGCAGAGAAAATTAATTTTGAAAAAAAAAATGTAATGGGTGCTTTTTAATTGGTTTAATTAAATTAATGGATTTCCACCAGACGAAGGCTCCACTTGAATTGTTAAAAGAAAAAAAAAGGGGGAACGAGGTCCTGTTGGCTGGCAAGAGAGGCAGACAAGGAGACGTCAGAAATTAGATGCAACCCTCGTGTTTACACCCATTGTTTAGGAAGGTTCAAAGCTCCGTCTGCAGCCTGCCCCTCCCAATTCAAACCGGATAGTCACCGCAAGAGTTTATATATTTATTTATTTATTCACCCCTTCATGCTGACTTGCCTTCTGAAAATTCATCCCTTCGGTAATTCCAGGAGAAGGTCTCCTGGCCACTTGGTGGAACATCTGCGCAAGCAAACATTTGACACCCGTGCTCAAGAATACAGTGTTTCCCTGAAAATAAGACCCTGTCTTATATTTTTGTTGCCACCCCCCAAAAAAGGCACCAGGTCTTATTTTCAGGGGATGTCATCCACTGACTAACCTCACTTGTGCACATCGCCCCCGGCCTCCTTTTCGCGGTCAGAAGCCTTCAGGAACTTCTTCTTCTGCAGCTGGCAAGGCTTTCCTGAAGGCAACTCTGCAGCCTTCAGGATCGATCCAGAGCTTTGTTCTCAGCTCCAGAGGCCTTGAGGAAAGCCTTGTCAGCCTTGCCAGCTGCAGAAGAAATGGGCCAGCAAGGCAGGTGTTCAGGTGTGCGAGGCCTGGCTACAACTGTCCAAAGGTAAGTAGTAGGGCAACTCCACCACCAGCCATCCCCACCCTGGTTTACTTTTTAACCAGGCACTCTGGAGTGGGCAGGGTCTTATTTTGGGGGGTAGGGCTTGAAGGAGTTGATGTCCGGGATGTGAGGGATCTGTAAATATTTTTCATAGCCCTCTTTTTGACTCGTGCAGTAGACAGGTCCTCGATGAAAGGCAGATGGGTAGCCATTGTTTTTTCCGAAGTCCTAATTACTCTCTGGAGTCTGTGTCTGTCCTGTTGGGTTGCAGAACCAAACCAGACAGTTATAGAGGTGCAGATGATAAGACTCAATAATTCTTCTCAATAATAATAATAATAATAATAATAATAATAATAATAATAATAATAA